AAAAAATAGTTTTATTATCACTTCATCCATATATCATACAATTCAATAATTCAATCATATCAAGAAGAGTTGTACAATTATGACCACTTTCAATTCTGGAACATTTTCTTCTTCTTTGTACTCATTGTTATTCATGTAATCCCTCCACCCCCCAATTGTGGCAAAAATATACACACAACAAAATATTCCACAGTTCCACATGTTCGTGTAATTCAGGGACAATGATTCTACTCTTCGTCTTGTACAACCATTATTGATCTCCTTTTCCAAATTATTCCACCACCACTAACACGAATTCAATGCCCCCTAAGCAACAATTTTCTCCTTCACTCATGGTGACCCTTGATCAAGTTTGGCTTCCTTTTTCTTAGTAGTTTTCTCGCTATAGTATTTACATATCACAGGCATCCATGGTTAAATTGCTTTTAATCAGCTCTAGTGCTCCCCACCTCTCCCTAATTCATTGCTTGCTCCTCCACTCCCCTCACGCTCCCCACCCCTCAAACCCTAGAGACTTATGGAAATAGAAAGCCCCATCTTTCTCTCAAAGCAGTGGTGGTTTTGAACAACTTCCCTTAGCATTAACAGCCCAATCTGTAACCTACACATTCTCAGGGCTCCTTCAGGCACATGGGAGACGCCATATACCACGCACCGCCACCGAGTCAATGCTGATTCATCGCGACACCCTGTGGTTTCTGTTTACCGACAGGTATAGAAAGGCCCATCTCTCTCCCAAGGAGCTACTGTGTTTCGAACTGCTGGTCATGTGGATCACAGCCCAACTAGTAACCACTACACCACCAGGGCTCCACAGATACACTCAGTGAAACTTTCCCTAAGGTTGTCAGGCCAGCCAGATGAAAATGAGGTCCATGAGCCACCTTACTAACAAGTACATCCTACAATAATCTAAGATGCTTCCACAGTTCTGTGTGTCACAATAGCCACTGTGTTGCATATAAAAGTAAACCAATGGAAACTGCCCAGCAAATGGTTCACTACGTGTAAATCAGGACAGAGCCACAAGGAGGAAACCATGCTTTCAGAGAATGTTTAAGACTGTGGTAATCAGTGGTTCTCAACCTTCCTAATGACGTGACCCTTTCATATAGTTCCTCATGTTGTGACGACCCCATAAAATTATTTTCGTTGCTACTTCATAACTGTCATTTTGCTACTGTTATGAATCATCATGTAAATATCTGATATGCAGGATGTATTTTCATTGTTACAAATTGCACATAATTAAATCATAGTCATTAATCACAAAAACAATATGTAATTATATATTGTGAAATATTTATTTCTAGTGACAAATATATGAAATTTTGTCTTGAAGCATGGTGTAGCATGGCTAACAGTCTTCACACTGGGTATGGTTCTGTATGTGGACTGACTCACCTGGAGACAGATAGAGGAACAGTTTCTTGATTCCTAAGACCATCAGAAATATGCTTTCCGATGGTCTTAGGCAACCTCTGTGAAAGGGTCACTCGACCCCCCAATGGGGTCATGACCCACAGATTGAGAACTGCTGGTGGTAAATGATAATATCATTTGAAATCCAGTGCCCCTCCCTGCCTGCATGCCCTCTGCCACGGGAACTTGCCGTTCTCCTCACTAGAGAAGTTGTGTGTACTTCCTGCCCCTACATTTAGGCTTGACCAGGTGATAGACATCTATGTGAGGCCAGAGGGGCCTCCTGGGGTGCTGTGTTGTGGGTTTGCCTTTCTGTCTCTCCCACGGCCTCCCAGAGAACAGGGGCTCCAGTTGGTCTGATAAAGCCAGGAGGACAGAAATTGATGGTGCTACATTAAACCCAGCCTGTAGCTTGGCCCCTAGAGCTGCTTAGATCAGCCAGCCCTCAGGGTGCCTACAACCACGTGAGCAAGCATAGAGTCAATGGTTTAGGCCACTGAATGTTGTGAGTGTTGGTAAGGTAGCATGACACACTCGTGGGGAATGTCTGTAATTCTATAATATTAAGTAAAAAAAATGCATGCACATCCACATGAAAAAATTGGGAGATGAGATACATGTCAACAGTGCTTGTATCTGAATCATGTGTGTGTGTGTGTGTGTGTGTGTGTGTGTATTTTACTCTATTTCTCAAATGTTCTACAGTGAGCAGGAGTTAGTTCCACAGGCAGAAAGACACAATAAATGGAACGGGAAGCATCAGAGACACTAAGGCGCTCGGTGGTGACAGAGTGGGTTTCCAAGGGCTGTGAACTGGAAGGGCAGCAGTTCGAGAGAAAGGGGAGGCTTTCTGCGCCATGGTTCGGAAAACCCACAGGGGTAGTTCGATTCTGCCCTGTAGGGTCACTGTGAGTCAGAATTGACTGGAGGGTACATTTTTCTGTTTGCTTGTTTTGTTTTTAAGCATGTCTTCAGGCCCTCCCGTGGTGAAAAGCTCGCCTGCCAATCCCAAAGGTGGACAGTTGGAACGCGCCAGCAGCTCCCGGGGAGAAAAGGCGAGACAATCTGTGAGGTAGAGATCACCCCCCTTGAAAACGCTGCAGGGCGGCCCTGCTCTGTGCTACGGATCTCTGTGAGCTGGAACCGACCTTATACACACCACCAGGGCAAGCAGCATGTGCTGGCGGAAGAGCCCTCCCCTGCGGGCTTTGCGGGCGCCGCTAGCCCCCCGTGCGCCATGACCAGAGCGCGGGGACAGCTGACCTGTGACTCTCCGCTTGGCCGCCTTGCTCCTCTTCAGGTCCAGGCCAAGGACGTCGCAGAGTGCGGTCAGCTCGATGAGGACCAGCGGGCGGATCTTCTTCCTGTCCTGCAAGGACAAGTCTCCCATGCGAGTCACGCCGAGTCTGCCCCGGGGGATTCGAAACTTCTAGGGCGGGAACGAAAAACAGTGTCTCGAATTGGCCCTCGCTGCAAACCTAAGCTCCTCTTCTTATGACTTGGCTGTCACCTCGAGCCTCTACCTCCCCATCTGTAACCACAAAGGAATGCATGTCAAGAGTGAGCGCATATAACAAGCCCCTCTCCCATTCCGCTCCCCCCCCCCTACACACACACATTAAGGCTCCAATAAATCAGGGCCTGGGGGAGGGGCCTGGCTCCCCGGGCCTCTTCTCGATGCTTATAGTCTTGGTTACTCTCTGTCACCCATCTGTTCCTACTCTCTGTCACTCTGTTGGGTAGCCAGAACTGGGACCGTGTTTGGGCATGCTCCAAATTCAGGCTCCAAACCTGGCGGGACACCTAGGTGGGAGGCACAACTAGGTAGGGGGACACCCGGGATTAGCCCCATTTAGGCTGGCCCACATTAATTCAGTCAATGGAGTCAACCAGTACCGTTGAGTACAAACCTGATTCCGGAGCCCACAGCCCTCTTTCCCAGCTGCTCCTCTGCCCCAGTGCTGCGGTTCTCTGACCTCAGGTTTCTACCGTGCCCTGTGTAAAACCTGAAGCTCCTTCTCTCCATTATAAAAACCCACTTGGATCACAAACTAGGCTTCGGTGTGAATGCTTTCTCGTGTGAAGCCAAGGACCGAGGTATTTCTAACAGGAGAAACCTAACAAGTCCATCCGCAGCGCCCAAGCTCCACATCCTCCAGCCACAAGTAGATGGTGTCCCCAGCGCCGACTAGAGGCCAGCATGGGCTCTGCAGGCAGCTCTGCCAGCCTTGTGGCCAGAGGTGAAGGGCAGCAAAGGGGAGGGTCAGATTTGTCCAACTCAGCCTGGAGGGTTTGACCGCTAGAGTGCCAGAGAAAGGCCACAGTGTAAACGAGTGCTTGGGGTGTGGGTATGGAGACGTACTTCCCAAGTTCAAATTCCGACCACCCGTGAGTTCTGGAAAATGACACACTTCTTATGCCTGTTGATTTTCACGTCTGTAAATGGGATTTATAAAAGCATCTATCTCCCAGCGTTGTTGGGGAGATTGGATTAGATAACGCATACAGACAGCCATTCACAGTGCAGTTACAATGGCTTGAGGATGTGAACCGCTTGGTATAGTGCCTGGCCCAGGAGGAAAGTTCTATATGTGCCTATCTGTTGGCCTCATTCATTGTTACCATTCTAATTCACAGGGAAATGGGGGAATCAAACCAGCCAGGCTAGAAAGCAAAGCTCTGTTGCGTATTCATCGTTTCTGATGCTCTAGGAGCAAAAACTCAGTATTTAGACTTTTCTTTGGGGGGAGGGGTGTACCATGAACATCTGAGCAAATCATCAGGGAAGTGGAACTAGATGTGGAAGAATGGGGCATCAGGATGGGAGGAAGGCGTGTAAACAGCCTGCATTACTCAGCGGACACGACCTTGCTTGCTGAAAGAAAGGAGTTGAAGCACTTGCTGATGAAGATCAAGGATCCCAGCCTTCACTCTGAGCCCAGCTGGCCTGCACCTTGGGGTTGTTAGGTCTCGTCAATTCTGTTCCAACTCATCGGGACCCGCATACAGCAGAATGAAACACTGCTGGGCCCTGCACCGTCCTGACCATGATTCTCATCCAGGCCGCGCAACCACTGTGTCCGTCCCTCTTGCCCAGGGCCTTCCGCTTTTTGGCTGCCCCGCTCCTGTTTCCAAGCATGATGTCCTTCTCCAGGGACTGGTCTCTCCTGACCACCTATCCGAAGTAGGTGAGATAAAGTCTCACCATCCTCGCCCCTCAGGAGCATTCTGACTGTACTGCTTCCAAGACAGATGTGTCTGTTCTTTGGCACCGGTGGCACTTCCAATAGTCTTCGCCAACACCACAGTTCAAATGCATCTATTTTTCTTCCGTCTTCTGGAAAATGCCTTGTACCACCCCCCTAAAACATTCCCCGGTGTTCTCAGGCCACAGAAAAGAGGGCTCCAGAAAAACCCCTTCCCTTAGAAACAGTGAGAAGATTAAACCTGAGGCGAGAAGGCCCCGGTTGGGGCACGTAGTGCTGACAGGGCAGGGGAGGAGGAACCAGAGAGAACAAGAGAATGCTCTTCCTCGGCACCTGGGTGGTGATTGTACAGGTGTACTCAAGCTGTACATGGTGAACATTTGAGCACTGTCACTTCTGCCTCAGTCTTAAAACTCGAAGTATAAATGATGATATCCTAAAATTTGAAGGCACTGGACTGGGACAAAATTTGAAAGAAAAAAAGGTTAAGAATTTGGATCTCTCCCACCAGAATATAAAATTAATTCAAACAGATAGAAACAACTAGGGGGAAATATCTCTCTTGATAGATAGATAGATAGATAGATAGATATCCATTTGCTAAATGTGGAAGCAATCTCTAAGCATAAAACCAAAGAAGACCCTAACAGAAAGGCTGTAAGCTGGGGGCTCCCCTGATGTCTGTCAGTCACTTAGTGAATATTTGCAGTGTGAGCAGAGTGCATGGGTGGTTTACCATGGGCAGCATGGAGGGTGTGAGGAGGGCGGGGCAAGACTTTGCTGGTCCCTCCGGACCAGGACCAGCTGCCAACCCTCTGGGCAGCATCCTCACCGGCAGGGAGACTTTGCTTCGGGCACAGGTGCCCTCAGGGGGTGGCCTGCACTTCTGGGGTGGTGCTGCCGCCTGCTCTGAGTAGGCAGTGTCCATGCTGAAGGTGTCCACCCTTCCGGCCTGCTCCTGGGGTCCCTCCAGTGTTGCCGCTGCTGGGGAAAGAGAACAGCGTGGCAGTTAGGACCAGCTGCCTCCCCATCTTGCCCACAGCAGTACCCAGGCCTGGGTCCTTGTTTAAGACACCTGGACACCAACAAGCGAAGGTTTAAGATGAAGGATCTCGGCTGATAATTCAAGGAAACAAATTCTTAGGCTCTAAGAAGCAGTGGCCCAATCTCAAACTCAACATCCCACACCACTGGGATTAGAGACCAGACCCCATTGTCCCAGTAAGCGAGTTTCCCCATGGAGACCCATGGCTCCAGGAAGCAATCAGCGTCCAGGCACTCACCCAGCCTCAGATTCCCAGGCCTGATGGCAGAGGCCTGTCGGAAGCCCAGCACTCCTCCCTGCTGCTCTCAACCAGGAAACGTGAGGGGCCTGCAGGGCCAGGAAATGGGCCCAGCCTCCACGGAGCAGACTGCTTCGTGCCGCCCAGAGTGGTCATGAGTGCCCCTGGAGAGTGAGAGCCACTTACCTGGTGGATAATGACATAACCTGGAGCTGAGCATGTTCCATTTCACTCCTGCACCTCCATCTGCTGAAGATCCCCCCTGGTAAATACAGATGGTGCCTCATCAGTGCCTGGGAGACAGGCCCAGCACAGCCCCATTTTCACAGAGAGGTGAGGTCACCTGCCCAAATTCCCATAACTGCTCAGTGGCAGCAAGGGAGGCTTTCTACTCCCATGAAGTCGTGGAAATTCCCAGGGGCAGCTCTACCCCATCCTACTGAGTCGCCATGAGTCAGAATGGACTCTATGACAGTGAGTTTTGAGTCCTACCCTGAAGGCTGTCGACAGTCCGGATCCATCAAGTGGTGTGCTGTGAAAGAAAGACCTGGTAATCTAATTCCACAAAAATTCCAAACAAAACAAAACAAAAACCAAACCTCACTACCATTGGGTTGACTCTGACTTACGGCGGCTCTTCAGGACAGAGTAGAACTGCCTCTGCGCTTTTCTAAGACTGTAACTCTATATAGAAGTAGAACACCCCATCTTTCTCCCACGGAGCTGGCTGGTGGCTTCGAACGGCCGACCTTGTGGTTAGTAGCCCAACATGTAACCACTATGCCACCAGGGCTCCCTTCTATAAAGGTTACAGCCAAGAAATCTCTATGGGCATTCATGAGTCAATAGAGGTTTGGGAGAGTATATTTCATATGTGAGTTTGCACATCCTGCAAATATATCCATGGAGCTAGTAGAGCAGGCCGTGGGCCGAGTTAAGAACACGCTTGAACCATCACAAAACACCTCGAGGGAATGAGCCACTGGGCGTGGGGACATCTGGGTTCCTGGCATGACATCGTCCACAAAGACAATGCTCTACATTCTGCTTTGGCAGGCGGCCACCTGAGATGCAGCTCTTGGTCTCTTTCCCCGCAAGGAAGAGGGACGAACATAAAACCTCGGGTGACCATTTGTCTCGAGAGGAATGGGCTCTGGGAACCACAGCCTCCACTCCTCGGAAACCAGTAGGACTGGACCGTAGGCTCTAGTCCTTCTTCGGCCTACCACCACCCTTTTCAGAAAAAAAGAGTACTCAGTGCCCTCCTGACAATGAGAGATGTTTGCCTTCTAGCCCACAGTCCAGGTAAAAAATGTAGGTGCTTGCTTCTGCAGTCCCGTGGGTCATTCCAGCGCCCTCTAGGGACGGTCTTGGCCACTTTGAGAAGCACTGAACTAGGTGCCCAGCTGCCACTGGGGCCACGTTATTCTGATCGGGATCCCAACAGAGGTCCTGACCAGGGCAGGAGGAAATGTAAAACACAATTCAGTCAAAAGAAAGGCCAACCTTACTGGTCTAAGAGGGGCTGTGGTGGTGGTGTGGGGGATGACCCCTGAGACTGGGGCCCTTAGGCACCCTTCAAGCCTGGAACAGGACCCACCCCTGGGCTCACCTTGCAGCCACACAATAGACAGCCCTAGAAATGGAATAATAGCCCCTGTGTGGAACAGTCAGTCAGCAAGCCCGCATCTGCCCCCAAACGCAGCGCCGAAGGCATCATGGGGCAGAGAAGGAGGAGGACTGGACGTGGGGGGGGAGAGCTGCTGCATTGACTTTGCATGGAATTGTAACTCACGTCACGAACCAGAAACGGGTGTATCTTGTGGGTGGAGAGCCAAGGTGCTCTATGATTTCCCGCCCAAACCACAGTTTACAGGCTATGCAGCAATTCTGCCCCCCAACACAGGGGCACCACACGTCAGAATCAACTCGATGGCACGGAATTGGGTTTCTTTACTTAGAGAGAATAGAAGCTTCCAGACCCGCGGGGACACACAGCGGTGTAAGACGATGCATGCAGGCAGACGAGGGCCCCAGATAGCAAGAGAGCCTCCGGGCATGCAGGGAAACACATGGGTGCACGCACATGTGTTCTACACACGCATGCACATGCTCACGCACATGCACCCCGCTGCCCCGGTACATATGATGGCACCACAGAGACCCCGGGCAGGCAGGCTTTGCCGTGACCCTCGTGCCACTTACCCCTGAATCGCAGCCACCAAAGATGTCCCTGACATCCCTGACAGGTGCCTTGTGGCGTCTTCGGGCTGAGCGGGCATAGATGTCCAGCCGGCGGCACACAGCAGCCACCTGGGTCTGTGTGAGGGTGGACAAGAGCCCCTGGTGGTCACCATTCATGCCCAGGCCGCCAAGGAGGCCCCATAGGCCCGTGTCCTGCAGCCACTGGGATTCGGCTTCTCCCTCTGCCAAGAGAGGGACAACACCAGATGAACACACACAGCGACGGCTCAGTCACACGTCAGCCAACGTCCTGTCTAGACACCACACTCATGCAGACACAGAGCATACCTGTACTCGACCACGAGGCCCCTTAATACCCCCAACACCGACCAGACTCTCCAAGGGGGAGAAGACCTAATAAACCAGGCCTCTGATATTTTGGGGTGTTGCTGGCCGCAGCCCCTTGTGAGCACAGAGCAGGCTGGGCAAGACACCTCTAGACTGTGATTCTAGAATGTGGGTCATGTGGGCCCAGCTGGACAGGGGCGACCTGGGAAGCTTGAGTGCTCCAGACAGATGCAGCTGCAGCCCTTCCCCCAAAGCTGTAACCAGAATCTGGGGTGTGCTGGCTGGGCTGGGGCCTGGGTCCCACCTGCACCTACAGGGCCCCTACTCCAGGAACTCAGAGTGGCGCCTGGGACTCTGCACTTGGGGCGTCCTCCCCAGATGAATCTAATACACTGGGGTCTTCAGGTCACATGGGCGTGCTGGCTTCCTGGCTCTGGCTTGAGAGCTTCGGACACACTGGAGAGTGGAGTGGGGTGGGGGCTGGGGGAGGTGAGGGGGCAAGAAAGCCTCATCATGCCCAGTGCTGGCCAAATTGGACAACCAGGTCCTCACAGTTTAAAAAGCCAGGGAAAGACCAAACCCGGTGTCATGGCAACCTGTGTTGTGCTCATCAGGCAGGTGTGAAAGCCTCCCCAACACTCCCCCTGGGTTTGGCAACCCGCAGCAAAGCCACCAGGCTCCGCACCCCCTTGTGCCGGCCGGAGGAGGTGTCCATTCTATGCTGGTGCTGAGATTGTCACTGCCCCCTGCTAACCCCAGGGTCAGGAGCCCCCAGGTGGCACGCTCAGTTAAGCACTGTACCACAAAGGGTGGTGGTTCAAGCCCACCCAGATGTGCCTTGGAAGAAAGGCCTGGTGATCTGTTTCCAAAAGGCCACCGTCACCGTGCACAGCCCTCCTCAGTCCAGCTAAGGGTCACCACCAGCTGGCAGGCACTCTGGGGCGACTCCAGAGCGGGAGTGAGGGGTCACCCTCTCGGGGAAGTATTGCTGCTTTCCATCACCACCGTTGGGGTAGTCACCGCGAGGCAGCAGTAGGTGATGGAGCACCTGGCTGTCGATGACTCAGAGAGAGACAGGGGACACTGGAGACTCCTGAGCAGAGGACTTAGAATCCCACGTGCAGGCAGGGACAGAGATTTTGCTTTGTGTCCCCTGCTCTCTGCCCGAGTCTGGCAGAACTGAGGCTGGTCGTAAGTACTTGCTGAGGGAATTAATGAAAGGAAAGCATTCACCTCCCATCTTGACTCCTGCTGGCTTGTAGGCTGGAGGGAGCAGGGGGGAGATTGCAACCGTCCAGGAAGCCCCTAGCTGTTCTGTTCATGGGAGCATCCGCTCACACCCACCCCACCCCCCACAGCCAGCCCACGGCTCCCAGGCAGGACTCTCACCCTCGGGGAGCTGGCCTTCGGCCCCGCCGGCCTCCTCTGGCTGCTCAGCCTGCTGTTGGAGCCGTTCCACCTCTGTCCAGAAGCCGTCCAGGGACAAGCTCTCTGCCAAGGACAGCCGGGAGCGGGGACAGTGGGCAGAGGGCGGCTGCTGCGGGGAGGTCTTCTGGGGAAGCAGATGCATTTGGCCTAAGGTGGGGCCAGAGCTGTAACAAGAAGGAGGTGGGGGAGGAGGAGGGAGTCAGGCAAAGTCTGATCAGGGTGGGGGCTGCCTAAGGCTCTGTGTTGCTTGGCCATGAGCTTCCGAAGTCTGTTTCTCAAGGGTGAGGACAGGCCCCTCGTATCAGGAGAATGGTCTGCAGTGGCCTCTGCGTCTCTCACCCAGGCCGCCGCATCAAAAGCCTTGAGGCAGACAGTTTTCAGATAACAGAGGCTGTGTATTGAGTCCATCTCTCTCTCCATGCCCATTCCGTCTCCTGATCAGAGAGCCTCCCTGCCCTTCCTGAGCACAGAGAACCCGCTGCTCTGTTCATCCATTCATGTCACAGGGTACTTGTTCATCCCCATTTCTCTGTCTGGGCCCACCAGGGAGCGGTAAGGTCTTTAACTGTACCACCTGAGATGTGCATACAGGCCCCCAGCCCTGCAGGCCCCGGGAGACCAGTGCCCACCACTGAAGCTGAGCTCCGCCAGCCTCCTGTCTGGGTGAGGAGAGCATTGTTGCACACAGGGCCTGTGCGTCACTCACGCTTTTGTTGGCGACCCGGTGCCTCGGCTTGACATCAGCAAAGGGACGGGCTAGCTGTTCCCTCTGCAGCATCCCTTGTAAACAAGCGAGGCCGCAGGGACAGGGGGAAGGCCACACGGCTCTGCTTCTTGGCACATTCTCGGGCAAGAAGGACAATCTTTCATGCCCATAAGGAGCGTTAGCGGTGCCATGGCTTAGCTGTCCTCTGCTAACTGGAAGTTTGAGAGTTCAAACCCACCAGCGGTTTCAAGGGAGAAAGTACCTGGTGATCTACTGCCATAAAGGTTTCAACCTACCTGATTAAAGCAGAAATGTAGACAGACAGACAGACA